CAGTGGTGATGATATTTTCAAGTAACAGGTAGAATATACTAAAAATACAAAACAGTTCCAGAAGGGTTTAGAAAAACACACACACACATACATACATATATACACAACAAATGAAGTTTCTAAAAGACATTTGGAAATTCCATGAACTTCTGAAGTTGCAGTAATGGAGATCCTTTTCCCTGACTTTCAAAGACCACCTAGGGCTACTGTCAGATAATGATAAAGTGCTACGTTACATGGATAATCTGTCTCACCTGATGGTACAATGCCTGAGATACTCCCCTGTTCCAGAAATCCAATTATCATCTTCACCTGCAGCAAGAACAACTTCCATGGCACTTCTGGAGGAGCACTGTAGGCTACAAAAGTGTTCCCAAACACACTTGCATCACCAGGGAAGACTTTAAACATGGAGATTCTCAGGACTTCTCTCTGGACAATCTGGGGTGGGAGTCCTGGAATCTGTATGTTTTATAAACACTCCCAGGTAAGTAGGAACCACTGGTCAAGTCAACAGTGTCTTGAATTACCAAAAAGAAGGTAAGACTCTCTTTGACTCTGCCCAGTTCAACATTAGAAAGAAGACAATTCTGTAGACCAGGGAGAATTCTTTGTAGGAATAATTGCCGACTGTCAATAGATCTGCTACATCAATGTTTTGCAGTTACCCAACATTAGCAATAAGGGTCTTATCCAAATAAAAAGTTCAATATGAGATATCAAGATTTTAGGAAAAAATAAATAGGTACTGCTATGGAACTATTATTTCTCATAATAAGTCTCCAGTTGCCTCTGGTGACAGTATTTGCCAGAAACAACTTTTTTCTAAGGATCCCATATAGTCCTCAAATCTGTCCCTTTGTCCATGTCTCCATGCCACCCTTTCTCAGCTTGTGGACTTGAGTGCTTAAGCACATTTCTCTCTCAAGTAAGTGGAATGAGCTCACTGGTCATAGACCATAAGTGACAAGTCACACATGGTCTGTAGGTCTCTTTCTAAAGCTGATGTTGAGATGTGTAGAGTCAATGGGAACTTGACTTCTCTCTCATAATTCAAGACCCTGTCCACTTGACCAATGGCTTCCAATTACCTGGGTATGTTAATAAAATGTACAAATTCTGGGACCCTCACCTAAGACTATCTAGAGGGGAGTCCTGAGAATCTTCATGTTCAAAGGGCTCCCCTAGTAATTCTGTTGTTGTTGTTGTTATGTGTGTTGAGTTGGACCCAACTCATAGCGACCCCTCCTTGGGTTTCCAAGGCGCTATCACTATAGAAGTAGATTGCCCAACCTTCCTTCCAAGGAGTGGCTGGTGGGTTTGAACTGCCAACATCCTGGTTAGCAGTCAAGTGCCTTAGGCACTATACTACCAGGGTTCCTCCTAGTAATTCCAGGGGAGGCAAATTTGGGAATGGTTTATATAACATAGTGCCCCTTCAGAGGAACCATGAAACGTGTCTTGCTGCAAGTGAAGTTTATGATTGGATTTCTGAACTAGGGGAGCATCTCAAGAATTGTACCATCAGGTAGAACTGGTCTTTGCAACTCATCCACCTAAGTTAAAGTTCAGTATTTAGATGTTTAGACATTGAGACCACTATACTTTGTTCATTGAGACAACCGTCATTTCAGATACCCACAACGGAAATTTTTTTAAAAAGTTACTTAAGTTATTCCCTAATTAAGTCTAAATTAAATTAGAAACTTATTTAAGTGACATAAATTTATATAATTTATGAATGTTTGCCTCTTATGGCAGCATATTACATCTAAATATTCCTGTAAAAATAAAGTATCACTGTAGCCCATTGATGGGTTTTGTCCTTGTTATTCCAATTATTGGCATAAATATTACTAATTGAATATTTATGCACATGTAAGGCTCAGGGCTAGATGCTAGTCTTGAAGAAAGACAATATGATTTTTAAATTACTGTAATCTTTTATGGCCATCTGTGCCAATCTTATGCAATCAGTCTATCACCCTCTCACCAGGAACTTACATACAAAATAACCCCTGCAGTTTCAGGTTGTTCAAAGATCACTCTGGAAGTCCATTCACAGCCCTGAGTTAAGAACTCTGACCTAAGAGGTATAAGTTTCTTCCCTCTCAGTGACACTAACTAAAAAATGTATGACCTATAAGTGAGTTTTGGAAGCCAATGAGACCAATCCATCTCATAATTTACATTGTGAAAGTGTCTTCTGAAAGCCTTTTATTCTGACAATATCTGTGCCAAATGAAGAGACTCCGTAGGTCCCTGAAAGCATCTATTTGATGTCTTCTACATTGTGTCAAAGGGTTTTATTGGAAAATTAGAGAGAAACACGTATTAAATAAAGTATTACATGATCTACTACGTTTCCCACATGAAGTTTCCATGAAGTCACCTCAGCTAAACTGGACTCCCTCTTGTACATGAAGGAGCTCTGGTGCCATAGTGGTTAACACATTCAGCTGCTACCCAAAAGGTCAATGGTTCCAACTCACCAGACTTGCTGCAGAAGAAAGATAAGGCAGTCTGCGTCTGTAAAGATTTACAGCCTTGGAAACTGTATGGGACAGTTCTACTCTATCCCAAAGGGTCCCTATGAGTGGGAATCAACTCAGTAGCAGTGGGAGTAGGTTCTTGTATGTAAGTTCTACAAAGCGAAAAACATCAGATGGGTTTTATCTTTGAAAACTTTTTAGAGCTGTTCTTGATTAGTAAACATGTAACATCCATATACAGGCACGTGTGTGCATGTACACACACAGACATACATGTATACACAATGTGAAAACTTCTTCAAAGATACCCTTGAAAGAGCTCTGGGACACTTCACATTCATCTAACTTTTGGAAAATACCATCCAAACAACAAGCCTCCTCTGTAAGGAGCCTTCTGTCCATTTCTGCCATTCGAAACTTACCAATGAATGAATGTATTGCTGCTTTTTTTGTGTGTAGGCAATCCCTACATAAACCCAGTATGTGTTTCCATTGTGCAGGGAGTATTAAAAGCTTGTTGCAAATCCTGTCGATCAAGAATGAGAATATGCAATACTATTCTTGATATTTGGGAGGAAATAGGAGACCCACACACATAAAAGTCATGATTTAAAAAAAAAAAAAAAAA